GGTGGTGGTGGTGGTGGTGGTGGTGGTGGTGGTGGTGGTGGTGGTGGTGGTGGTTGACCGTACACGAGATGGTGAGCTGTTATCAAAAGAGTGAGGGCCATAAGCAGATAGTAAATGCCATTCATGAATCATGTCGACGTACATTTCCTACTCTGCTATTCCGTTTGACGGCTGCCAGATGGAGTGGAGATTTATTAAGCTCCATCAACACGACTTGAGTTTCCTAGTTTAACTACTTGACCAGTCATGTCGTCAGCCATGGTGAGTTCGGGCATTCAACCAGCTCCCCTAAGATCCTTCACAGGAGTGTCCATGGCGAATTTTCAGAGGCAAGAAGGTAGATCAAATTGCGCCTCATCAATACCTTTTGGAGCCTCAAATTACTGACCTTCTGCGTTCATGCCTCGTACCTCCGCTCCCCACGCATGACCTGGTTTACTGATACCCACAATTGCCTATCTCATCCTTCACCTGACCTCGATTGATTGAGGCCACTAATAAGTATTGCTCCCCTAATGCAGTCCTACAATTTATCAGGACTCGCGATCTCGTACATACAGCGTAACTCGGTTCAGCCACCTAGTAAACAGCCGGGTACCCATTGGCTCAGGCATTATTATTCCCTTCTCAGTTTCAACAAATCGATTGTCCGCAAGTCCTACGTTAGTTCCCAGAACACATGTCCGACTTACTGCGTCGGTTAATGCAAGGATGCTAGACACCGATCGCTGACCGAACAAGATAATCGATTGCCTGCTATGTTAATCGCTACATTGCTGATCAGCTGGCCCTGACAAGAAGTACACAAAATCACGCTTAACGACCGGACATACTAATCGTTCTTCATTAAGTCACACACGCATCACAGTAGAGCAGGCTTCTTGTCTTCCCAAACAGGCTGATTGCGTCGGTAAATCCCCAGTTGGCAGTTCTAATCCCCATTAGATGGACGCCAAAATGGCTGTTGTTATTGTTGTTGTTGAAAATGGGCGCGGAGACTAACTTGACTGGTGATTTGTTGACCCTGAATTGCTGTTGCTGATCAAAATACACAATATTTTGATGCAAACAACTTCTGACAGCAGGAGCTCAACTCGAGGCAATGGAAGTCGATCCGATCGAATCAGTGGACACAAGGAGTAGTTCAGTTCGCTTCGACTGCGCCATCACGAGTTAGCACTAAAGTACACACAAGTTTGCACTCTGTTGAGCGTATTTGGCAAGTCGATGAAAAGAATTTGCGTCTTAAAACGGCAAATTCTCGCACTATAAAGGTGCTTAAAACAACTGAATTAGGGTTACCGCTGACCAAATACGAATATTTAGCCCTAGGGTGTTGAGCAGTTGGTAGGAGCTTTGAGACCTAGTGGTAATCACAGCCACGGGAAGCATCTAGCATCAAGCAATTTATAGTGCGCAAATCCTATAACCTTTAGGAAATTCGACGTAAGTTACGAGGTGTTTGTTATGCTGGTAGCTTCACTCCAAAAGGTAACACGTGAATAGCATTCACAATTCCTCATAACGCAGTCGAATCTGTGCCTGTAGTTGGGAAAGTGTAGCTTTAACTGTTCCAAACAAGCGACATCCGAATTGTAAGCAGAAATGACGATGCGCTTGGCAAATATTCTTTACTGTTGCCACGACATGCCATGATAGTATTTTGGGGTTGACGACTTGTAAGTTGGGCCATTCACTTATGGAACAACGAGGAAAGTATCGGAGATGTTGATTTCAAGAGATGAAGGTGGTGGAATCGAGGTGTCCTGTGTTAGAATATCATGCGTCGTCTGCAGCATGAGGTGACCGAAGCAGAACCGCAAGTTACTAATCTTCCACTAATTGAATCACTTCACGTAGTGAGTTGACGGCGTTTAACGGAGCATTGGTGTGGCACGGAGTGATCAGACTTAGTGATGCGAGTTGAAAAAAATCATGACAAAGTCACTGCTGAATACGTGGAAACTATGGAATGGTTCTCGAAAGCTCAGCATTGTAATTGTGAGAAATTACCGTCAAAGACAAGGGTTTTTTTTTATTAGATTATCTAGTCGAACACGGCTAGAACAGCTTAAAGTGAATTGAACTGATCTTAGTAGACACTGTGATCTTGGAAATTTTAAATCCTCGGACATGAAAACCAACCTCTAATTGCAAAAATTGAAAAGTATCTGCATTTGTCCTAGATTCTCCAATTTTATTCCTCCCAAGAGTAAACGCTTGTGGAGGCGCAGGTCACAGCGTCCCCATCACACAAGTCCTACTTGACCCGTTCTAAGGTAACTGAGAAGGGCTTGATGAATCAAAAGCAATTTTATTGCATTCAAGCAAAACGCCTCTCCTTCCACCGAAATTATCAGCAACTGGATGATGGCGCCGTGGGTGGGAAATGTTTCCTTTTCATCTTTCCCTCGATTTCACAGCGTCCCTGAGCGAAATTTGGGCGAGAGAGAGAGAGAGAGAGTTGCGTCCACGCTCCACAGGGCTTTTTCGAAGCATTCACGCCTCCCAACCTACCAGCGTAATGTTATCAGATGGTACTTAAAAAGCGCAAATATCACACGTTTTATGGACCATTTCTTGGTGATGAATGGGAACATCAGGCCGAAGAAGTTATTTTTAATTGTTAGACATAAAACTCCGACAGGCATCTCGTCAAACCATGCCAAAACGCGGCAGACGGTTCAAAACACCAGTGGGAAGGTAGGCTTTAAAAATGCGCTTGATTTTTTTAACTGAATTGGGCAAAATTACTTTCCCAGCTATCATTCAACGACGTAAATTCTCTCGATGATCCCGCGATTCATAACAGAGGGGCAACTTATTTGGGAACGTGATTACATTTATCTGAAATAAATACCACTTTCTAGACGTAAAACATTAATGCTGAAAATTAAAACATGCAAATAACACAAACACTTGTTAATTCAATTAAATTTAAACTCCAAGATTTGGCATGATGCATTTCTTAATTTCCCGACGGCAGAACATTACTTTAACTAACTTGCTTTGTGTATACACGTTTAGCGAATGTGGATTTTTTGGTTGTTACAGATACAATCTTGTTTCCTGTGCGACATTATCAGTTCCAGTAAATCTCGCCAAAACGTTCCTTCAAAATGGGCGCAAGTAACGTTAGGGCGCCGCAAAACTTGGTGCGTTTTTTGCCACCAATTCGGCAGATTCAGTTCTCCGCGTTTGCCAATTACGCTAAGCGTGCAGGCTATGGCCGTGCCCATTGGCTGCCTCACAGCCCGAGTCGCAATTTCTCTCGCGCGCGCGTTCGCTTATCGGTCGAGCGGCGTTAGCACACGAGTTTGAATTGCGTTCGTCACTCGCGCTGGCTTTCCCGCGACAAGCATCACCACCATCAGGGCTGACAGTAAGGCTTTACTGGCCGTCATGAGCAGTACTAGCACGTCACCAGAAGACAATGGCACTGACGACAAGTCGTCCCGCCACGAGTGGAACAGCGGTCGTAAAAAAATTGGCCTGGCGCTTACTGTTGGCTCGGAGCCTGCTCAGACTCCCACAATCTCCCTGCCCCATTCCCTTGATCTCAAAGACGCGAAAAAGGTCTTTGCACTGAAAATCGCGGGAGCGCTGCCCAGCGGTGGATCGTCGCCAGCCAAGATAATCCACGCGTTCATCCACGTCAAGGACTACGAAGGTCTGGATCGGTACTTGAACAAGTACACCGTGGACAAAGACGTGCTGAACTTTGCCCTACAGAAAGCTTGCATAGCCTCGAATGCCGAAGCCGTGAATGTTCTGGCGAACCATGGAGCGAACGTCAACTTTGTCGATCAGTTTGGAACCACCGCCTTGCACTTCGCGATGCGTGGAGGTGGCGATCCAGACGTCCTATTGGCTCTCCTTCAACATGGAATGCAATTCCGTGACTGGAAGCACGAGGGACAAAACCTACTCAATTGGGCTTGTCAGTGGGGACATTTAGCCATAGTTAGGTATGTACACTTTATAAATCTTTGAATGTTAGGGCGATTTGATTAATTAATGTCTGAAACTAAAAATCTGGCTAATGGTAATTCCTCCATTGCCGTTAGATGCACTGTTGAATTTGCTACCATGAAATCGACCATTCATTAATTCAACTTCAAATGTGCTTTGGATAACAGACATACCTTTCACTATGGTTGGTGTCATTCAGTTATCCCAAAACAATGCGCCTGTCTACACCTTAACAGTCTCTATCTAATTCAGAACATATACCTAAGATTTCATTTTAAATCTAGACAAGATTGGCTAATTTATTCAATACACCACACGCCCGGACCTGATTGGTGTGCACTCAGTTGAAAAATCAATAAAATTTCTAGCGTCACCAAGGTGCACAACCTCAAAGACAGTTAAACAGGGTCTTGAGTTATTTAAAATGTTGGCCTAAGGCGGTGTGTCCGGGTGATGGTTATCGCAAATAGCTGCAGGCGGTGTGTCCTTGGCTCACCAGAGAATAACCGCCCATTAGATTGTGGTTAATTAAAATAAGTATCCAGGCCAGTGTGTATGCCTGGTTGATTAGTTGAGTGTGCTTGAACTCTGTACTTTAAGAGGTCACCATCCATGAGAAGGATCCCTCTACTTAAAAGATCGCGCTCCTATTGTTTACCCATACTTGAGTCTACTCATAATTTGGCCAGTCCACATTGAATTACATTTTGTACTAACTCAAAGCACTGATCTTTGCACGATCTCATACATTTTAACTTGTAAAGATGTTAAAATTATTAGAAACGTTCGACAACTCATGCGTCTTATCTGATTTAGGCGAATTTTGATAGTGTTTATCATGAGCATGTGAATAAGAATTAAAACAACTGATAAATCAAGACTGACGTGGTAAGCATTAAACTGACTTCCCAAATAGGCTGTGCAGCAAGTCCGTCTCTCAAATTCTTGCTAAACCAATTCTGAAGGGTGAATAGTCAAGCAGGCAATGTGGTTACATTTACACAAGCACGTGGTACGCGGACCACTTCTACCAATTGGAGACGGAACTGCCACAGCGTTGCTATGACGCATTTCCGCAGTGTGTTCAAATTCGAATGACTAAGCTACAAGGCTGACTCGGTAAACAGGTTGTAGAAATGTGTTTAAAATCTAGCCCATTTAAACACGATGTTATTCCTTATCTGATGGAAGAAAAAGTAGTGACATTTTCATGGGATCTACAGACTTGGGAGTTCGGAAAAAAACGTTTAATTAATTTTATTGGTTAATTTAAAGGGGATTTGAAGAAGGGGATAAATGGTGAGATAAATAGACTAAGGTTCCGGGATTTTGTTTAAATGGGCGAAAATTGGTTGCGTGGGATATTGATCTGGGTTCACTTGAAGTCCCCAGCTGGTTCCGAATTACGCCTTCGAAGTTTTTTTCCCATAAAACCGACACGTTAACGTGGTGGTAAATCTCCTGCAACCACTAGATATTCACCTAACTGGCACTGCCCCGAGCCATAAAACTTTTACTCTGGAAAACTTCTTTTTTTGTAACATACATTTCTGAAACGAATAACACATTTGTTCATGGAATAGGCAAATCCAGTAAAGGTTTCTAACTGTAATGTTCTGGTTCGTCTGTTTTCTTCCTTGTTTAATGAGTCATCGTTCACAAAAATTGTTTTAATTTAAACAAATACAAAATCATTGAAATTTGATATTTACAAAAATGCATGGATTGTGCCCGCGAAAAACGGCATTAGATGTAGTTTTGAAATTAGCTTCGTTTCAAATTTAACAATTCCCGGTCATGGAACACCTTTTTTGATAATTTTTAATGCTTTAGAAAACATTTGTGTGGAATTTTTTAGTCTTATCAAGGGACCATGCATGAAAAAAGTTTTTTAGTGTTAAAAAACCCTCAACTCAGGCCTGACCGAACTCCCGTGAATGTGTTTCATAGTTCAAAGGTCACATTTAACCTAACACGACTAGTGACCACGTGGGTGAGTCATTTCTGATAATGATGAACGCTAATTGTTGACTTCCCATTAGACGGGACGACGTGTTCGAGCGAACGCCAAATGTCAAGGCCAACTGACGGCCTTCAGTAATGCGCTAACCAATGAAATCGTGCTCACATTTGGCTGTAGAAAGCGAAGTGAATTCTCTATGTGCTTGAATAGCGCAAGTTAAACACACGACCACAACTGACAAACTGAAATTCCAAAACCGATTTCTTCTGCTCTCAAAACACTTTTGTGGTTTTCTGGTTTTCTCCACTAATCAGGCCCTTTCCAGCTCCATTCACTGCCAGGTGTTGCAATGAGATTGACCGAAATAAAACACGAGCAGAGAGGAAAGGGCAGACTCCGACCATGTCTGTCACGAAGTACTGTTATCTAATCATACAATCACGAATTTCACAAAGCACTTCTCAAATTTGGCCTATTTGAAGAACGCAATCGCCAGATAGTAGCTATAAGTGAAGCTAACATGTTTCGCACTTATAATGCCAGACATTCGTCGTGCGCGTCAGATAGGATGATGTAACGCCGTCAGATTTAAACTCGTGTGTGTGTGTTAAGTCGAAACACCTACGAAACCACAAGAACGGACCAATCAACATCATTCTTCAGGAGTCAGCCCAAGATCTGGCCGAGTTCACGTAAAGGTAGCTCATAGTCTAAGTGTCAGTTAATCTAACACAACTAGTGACCACTTGTATTATTTATTTCTAGTAATGAATAACACATAGTTTTAGAAAGCTTGTCAAATGTGAACAAGCTGTCTCCAATGGTGTGAAAATCCAAATTAAAATATGCGATATGAAACATCTATTCATATCACCTCATCGTAATTCATTTCGACGTGCTGTCTTAACCAGTCAAAGGGATCACACCAATCGATTACCACCTGGATTAATCGATAACCTGATCGAGCAAACGACCAATTACTTCAATTAACGCCTGTTCTAGAACTTAAATAAGCCTGCTCTCAAAGTGTCAAGTAAGTTTTATGAGTTGTAGCTTAAAATTCCTCACGGATATTTAAGCCGTAAGCACTGGGATACAGTTTGCATGACATTAGCAATGCAAATGCACACGTCTTCATTCCAGCCTCACTCCACAGTTCGCTTCGCAGGCTCACTGGACTTCGGCCCAGTTCTCCTTCATTTGTGTTTGCAAACTCTCAGCAAGATTTTCCAATTTCACGAAACCCAGGTCAAAAGTACTTTCTCCAATGTGGCGCTCTGGGAAGCTGAGCATTGAAATGACACACACACACGCACAAAAGCAGGGTGTAAATATTAACCAAGTCAGATTGCAGCTCCGGTTGTGTGGTAGTCGATTTTCAGAGATGATTTTAGCTTTGTAATTTGGAGTGATGTTTACAAGCCGTTTCACTTACTTTAGTGACCATTTTTCCGAAATTTCGCATCCTCTTTTGAGGTAAACTAAATTAGCCAGTGGGAAGTAATTATCTCCACACCAGAGTGAGCATTTTTGCCTTCGTTAACCCACACACACACACTCACACACAAACCCACTCGCGGTTCCCACATTATTCAAAGTCAACTGTTTATTCAGCCCGGAGTGGGGTGGGACGAGAATGTGTTTGTGTGTGACTGACTCGTGGTAGGTGGGAGAGCTTGAGCGACGGACCGTTCCACGTCACACGCACGCACACCCCCCATTTCTCCAATGTACTCATGCTTGAGTTATCAGCACGTCTGATTAGCTTTCAGTGCGACGGGGAAGTCTTTTATGACCTCACATGTTCCGATTGGCACTGAACACACAAGCACAAACACGATTTGTCCACGTGTGGTAAAGGTTCTTGAATAAATGAACACGTTATTTAAAGAAAGAAGGGGCTCCTTGAAGAACTGATTAGCATTCAATTTAACCCAGGTCCTCCTAAATCGATAATCATGGTGACGAATCGCTGAATAGACCCTGGTTGTTTAGTGCGCCCCAAACATCCACGTTGCGTAACCAAATGTAGCAGAATGTGCGTTAAAACGTTTTCCGCGCTTCTGAGTAATCATTGATGATTCACCTTTTCGAATCATGATTTTTGTGGATCAGGCAGTGAACTCGAACATGAACGCCACTGACCAATGAACGCAAATGTAAACTTTTTCAATCGTTTTTTGGATGACACTCAACAATCAATCATCTTCGCTTGCGTGGCATGTTACGATGGGAACAGACCAATCTAACTTGCGACCTCGATTAGTGACCTTGGAACTCTTCCATGGAGCCAATTAAATCAACTTTGAGTGAATTCACGTGACATATGATGTGTTGAATTGTCAACACTTTTGCAAAATGGGCTAAACAGCTATTTTTTGCCTCGAATTCAAAAAAATGTAACTCGCATTAACCACGTGGTAACCGATGATCGAAGGTATTTCGTGTGTTTAATACGAGGATATGGAGGTTAAAGGGCAGGCTCCATGGCAAATGTTGGAATGGATCCATTTCACCGTGGAGATCCTATGTGAAATCGCGACTTCTGCTAATCAAGGTGGCATTATTTTTCATCATGACGACGCTAGACCACACGTCACATCGCAGACGTTGAATACAAGCCTGAGAAATTTAAAAATGGGCCTGACCCTGCTCTTTCCCATTTTGATCTGGTTCGTCCTTGATAAAATGACTCGAACGGGTTCTCTAGTAGACGTCCAGACTGATTTTGACTTTCCTTGTAAGGAAAGAAGGTTCTCATGCTCATGCAAAACATTAAGCGAGTTTGATGAAATTTTGTAGGTTTATTCACGGATTAATGATTACGGCGATTTTTTTATTAAAATAATGCACTGAATTCAGGCAATTTTCAAATCTGGCGCAAACTTTTTTGACCGTCCAATTCATCACTAAGCTCAGATGCATTTCTAATGGCGAACTGTTTTATGACTAAAGCTTAGATCTGACTTCAGAAAGGCATAATGCCAATCACTTAGCGTACACAAAGCAAACTAATTTTAACTGATTCGTGGCACTTGACGCCTTAGTTGGACGCAAGGGACCTGAGTTACTAGAACCATCACTTCTGAGAGAAAGAGAGAGAGGGAGACAACTTATCTGGAAATAAAATTTTATGGGTTTTTAAAGCTCGCTTTATTTAGTCGTGTGACTGGAC